TATGATTTACCAATTTCTTTTCCTTTTTTAATGTTAACATACCTAGGTTCCTGCCTGGAGGATTTGGTGATCCCCTGCTACTAGACACGGAAGCCTGTTAAGCGAAAGCTTCTTCTATTCCGTCCACAACCATTTGAACCATTTGAACCATTTGAATCAAGGTAAATGATATCAACCTTTCCCTTGCAATCGAGGATGCTTGTCCATCTGTCCACCGCAGTCAGCAGGTTGGTTATACAAGAGTAACCCTTCCTGAAACCATGCTGTTGGGGTGAGAAGAAATTTAAGGACAGTAGATAGTCATTTAAACCGTCGCATATCAGGGACTCCATGAGTTTTGAAGGTAATGACAGAAGAGCCACCGGCCGATAACTTGAAGGTTCATTGCGTCGACCACCTTTGAAAATTGGTGTGATGTGAGCCAACTTCCAATTTTCCGGTAATTTGCCTCGGCTAAGCGAGTGTGAAAACATCACGCTAAGCGGCGTTGCCAGGATTGAGGCTGCCTCCCTCAGTATGGCAGGATGAACCATATCCGGGCCAGGAGAAGTGTCTAGTCTTAAGTGCTGCAATTTCCGGAACACCAAGTCAGCGCTTAGGTCCACTTCAGAAAGTCCTGTGGAATTGCAGATGAAACTGTCGTCAGTAAAGTTGATGTCAGCCGGTTGAAATGTTTGAGAGTAATGTGCCGCCAGAAGGTTAGCGGCGTCGCCATCGTTGTTGGTCGGGCCGTTAAGACCTACCAGTTGAGAAACTCCTGTTTTGGCTTGACGAAGAGAGGCTGCATAACGGAATAGGCTTCTAGGGTTAGAGGCGAATTTGTCCATAAGCTTTGTTTGGTACTGAAGCCTGTCTTCTCTTATAGCCTTCGTGCATATGTTCCTGATATGTTTATATTGCCTATACGCTCCATCGTTATTAGTTCGTTTGTATTCCGCCCAACAGTGCCTTTTGCGGCTTAGCAGGCGAAGGGTACGGTTCTTGATTACTGTAGGTGGCTTGAAGCTTTTGGGAACCGTTTGAGGAACTGAATGGTCTGTAGCACATAAGAGCGTGTGCAGTAAGAAGTCCCAATGACCATCCACATCGATTTGAGGGTGAACATCCCAAACCACCTGTTGTAGATAGTCATGTAGAGCTGGCACATTCAGCCGTTTAAAATTCCAACGCAAATTATTGTTGGGATACCTTAGCTTAGTTTTGATGACAAAACTGAAGGCTATGACGGCATGATCGCTCTTTCCCAGAGGAGCCAGGATTGAGAGGTTGTCGACTAGGAATTCTTCGTTAGTGAATACACAGTCTAAGCGCGATGGTGTCTGACTGTTTCTCCAACGAGTTGCCGACCTCACATTTTCATATAAGCCCAAGTTATCGATGAGGTTGAAGAACCGAGCTTCAATTGAGTTGTCGCCTCCAGTGTACGTGTGTTCCGCGAAGTTGACTCTAGGGAGATTAAAGTCCCCTAGAATCAGGATGTGTGTGAAACCGAGACGGATAGAGCGGGATAGTCCTTCCAGCATACGACTATCGTACTCGGTGTCGGCAGTTGGCTTCCTGTAAATGACTCCGACTAGACACCTGGAAGTACTAGACAATCTTACAGAGCACCATATGGATTCCTCAAGATTGTTAAACTCGAGGTTGTGAAACTGGTGCACCTCCAAGCAAGAGCTTATGTATATGGCTACTCCGCCCCCAATTCCTGTTTTTCTGTCGTTGCGGAACAAAGTCATCCCAGGCAATGCTAACTCTTGGTCCGAGAACTGAGAAGATATCCAGGTTTCAGATATTCCTATCAGATGGGCCTTATTAGCGTTGCTAAGTTCACGTAGTTCATCCAGTTTGTTTGGTAGACTCGCGGCGTTCATATATAAGCAGTTTATGCTTTCAATTTGGAACGCGTGAGCTTCGTCCTGTTTTTCTGTATGAACCTTATGTGAATGGACAGGTAGCCCACCTATGTGAGGTTTGCCGAGGTGGTAGGCCCTGTCCTTTACACGTTTTTTTTATCGTTTAGACAGTCCACAAGTGGAATGGTCAGCTCCAACTTGCCTTTGTTCTTGGTCCTAACTTCGTATGGCCTATCCGGGTGCATGTGGATTCCAGGTGGCAATCGACGTCTATTAGCACGAAATGCTTCCAGAACTGCAGCCGCCATGTGGGAAGATGGGAAGGTTATCTTCATTAGACGGGGTCTAAGATCACCGTCCTTCTTGGCTAGTCTCGTCACATGCTGAGTCAGTATGTGTTTGAGCCTCAAGGACTGTTTGATGAATTTCCATTCCCTGATGTCAGAATTTGATTGAGTAGGGTCTGCATTTTCCGGTATACCTTGGACAATTATGTTTCTTCCGCGGAAAAACTTCTCGCGAGATTCTTTAGGGACGTTTCGTATGATACTGCGCTCAGAGTACGGTATGTCGGGCAGTATTCTTACGTTACCATCTGATTTCAGCAAGTGGCTTGCTAGCAAGACGTCCTCTACGTCGGTAGCATCCTTAAGTGTTACTCGGAGAAGCCTCGGGTGATTTAGATGCTTAGAATCCTTTCCTCGAGTGAGCCGGGTGACCGTCAAAGGCTCTATTCTAGGAAGTTCGAGCTTCTTGTTCAATTCACCCCAGAGCATCCTGTCGTTTTTGTCCTGCAGACTGAGAGGAAGATCAGGATTGTCAACGAGGTTCATGATAATGAGAGAATCGTCACGAACTGTTGTTAATTTACCAGGTTTCACGATGGGTTCAGGTTTAGTAACTTGTTGTTTGGAGGTCAGTGTGCGTTTATGAATCATGGGCTCTTTATTGACCGGACGAACAGTCTTGGGGGTAGACTGTGCGACTAAATCACCAGTTATTTTCCGTGCAGCAACACTTGGGTTGCTCGGCTTAGGCGGTGATGCCTGGTTCTTTTGGGCTCTCTTAACGTGGGTCGAATCACCTGCAGGGTTTTTGGCAACCACTGTTGTGTTCGGGGACCCTGAGCTGGGAGACCCGAGTTTGCCTAGGGAGTTCAGTACCGTCGACGTAATGATGGTACTGAGCCTCGACACGTCGTCGTTAGTGTTGATGGATGCTCCATCGATGGAATACCTATCGACATCCCTGTTTTTGAGTCCGTTGCACGCTCTTGTTTGTATATCAGTTTTTTTACTATCGTATTCCAAGTTAACTGACAACTTGTTCCGAAGACCTGTCAGTAGGACAATGATGTTACTCAGCAAGACTACGGAGTCTGTGTTGCACGTGGCACACACCCACTTTTGCTCTGACTTGCTGAGTCTGTTGTAAGCAGTTGCTGTCAGATCTGTGCATGCTTCGTGGAACCAACCTTTGCAGTTGTCGCACTGCATGCCAGTTGTGACAGCAAAACGGCATCCCGGACGTTTGCATGAGTTTTTCATGACGGTGTTGAAGCAAATTATGTTATAGATGCTTGCAAGAGCCTAAGACCTTTAAAAAAACACTAAAAAGCACACTGAAAACGGACAAAAATGGACAAAACGAGTGATATAAACTGAAACTAGTCTATACGTGAAAAACAAAAAAAACCGAATAGTAAGCTGAGGCAAAACCACAGGTAACTATTAAATATAGTGAAACTCAAAAAAAAGTAATCTACCGAACGTATAGCTCAGGATAGATTCTTTAGAACTGAAATGGTACTTTTGTTGCGTAAGAACACAGCAAAAGTTTGATAAATGCAAATCACGTTAGGACTAAACTTCCCGTTCGAAAAGCGCGGTGGAATCAAAGCTTTTGATAAGGTTAACCACTTGTGTCTTACCAATAAGCTCAAACGACTAGGTATCAAACCACCTCTAATCGATTGGCTTACTTCATACCTAAATAATCGACACTTTAAGGTTAGGGTTAATTTCACTTTATCTCAGGCTATGGAATGTCCTAGTGGGGTCCCCCAGGGCTCAGTACTAGGGCCTCTTCTGTTCTTGATCTACATAAATGATCTTCCTCAACAGGTAACGTCAGACTTATTACTTTTTGCCGACGACGTGAAACTTTGGAGAGAGATACGCAACCAAGACGATACACAGGCACTTCAGGAGGATCTGACGCGACTTCAAAGTTGGGCAGACGATAACGGACTTACCTTTAACACTTCAAAGTGTAAAGTAGTCCATCTGCGACATGTTGCAAACTACAGTTACAGCTTAGGAAACTCCTCTCTAGTAGTATCCCAAGTCGAAAAAGATTTAGGAGTCCTGGTGCCCCATGACTTAAAGTCTTACGCTAACTGTGACAAAAATGCCTTCCGAGCAAACCTTGCACTGGTAACGTTGAAGCGCATTTTTGGACAGTTTGACGGACGAACTTTCCATACAATCTTCAATAGTTTCATCCGTCCCCATTTAGAGTACGGAAACATAGTACTCCCCCCCTCACTCCATAAGGACAAGGTCACTTTGGAGCGTATCCAACGTCGAGCCACGAAATCAGTTCGAGGACTCAAATCTAAACCTTACGAAGAACGCCTCCGTTCACTAGACCTTTACCCACTAGAATATAGGCGTCTTAGAGGTGACTTATTAATGGCTTATAGTATTCTTAACACTTCTGGACATCCTCTTAAACACCTACTTAAGCTTAGTTCGAATAATAATCTAAGGGGTAACACCCAGAAACTGGAAACACAACATAGCAAGACGGAATGTAGACACAACTTCTACTCCTTAAGAGTTGTCGAAATCTGGAATTCGCTACCAGCCGAGCTAGTCCAAGCGACTTCTCAGGAGTCCTTCAAGAGGCAACTTGACCTATTCTTAAGGACCAAGGACAGCATCACATTATGATTTACCAATTTCTTTTCCTTTTTTAATGTTAACATACCTAGGTTCCTGCCTGGAGGATTTGGTGATCCCCTGCTACTAGACACGGAAGCCTGTTAAGCGAAAGCTTCTTCTATTCCGTCCACAACCATTTGAACCATTTGAACCATTTGAACTAGTGAGCGCCTTTTTAGTATCCTTACGTTTCATCTTATCAATGGTTTATGACTCGTCGTTCCTGCTGACTGTGAAGGTTTGTCTTTTTTCTGTCTAAGGAATTAATTTGACATTCTGCAGGATCGCGTAACAGAAAAACTTAAGACTCTTGGTGCATTCATCGATGATGAACTTCCGGATTATATTATGGTTATGGTTGCGAACAAAAAAAGTGAAAGCGCTATGGCTAAAGACTTACAGTTGTTCCTGGGTGAACATACCAATAAGTTTACTGAATGGTGAGGGGAATTTTGACTTTATTTATTCTCTAGGCTCCACCAAACGCTTGAAAACTTAAAAGTTATAGGTCGTGGTAAGTTCTTACGTCGCTTTAATCTCATGTCTTAAGACTCTAGTGGTGGACGTAGAGATAATGAAAATGTGCGGTCTTCACGATCAAAGTCTGGGCGACGGAAGGGTCGTAAATCACGTTCGTCTGAATCTCGCAGTGATTCTCCCAAGTTCTCGAACCGTTCTAGATCGAGGTCGCCTTTAGAACCAGTTAAACATGGTAGATATGCTAATAGTTCCCGCGAACCGCATGCGGAAGTGGATGGCAGTGTAAAGGCAGCAGCAGGTGAGATGAATTATTGTGTAAACACGTTGTAGATGTATATATTTCCGAGGATAATGGGTCTTGTCATATTAAAGAAGTAAGTATTTCAACAGTATGTGTTTATTGTTTAGGAGCGCAAAATCATGTCCACTTCCTCCTTATCACGAAAGTTAGTTCAAGAAAGTGAGAATAATTCAGAACTATCGGATAAAGTTAGCAGCTTGCAATCAGTTGTTGAGGTGAAAAACTCAGATAGTGTTAAGGTAATCATTGTTTCTGTGCAGTATTGCTATAACTGATATTGTTGACAACGCCAATACCATTTATGATGCCAGCTTTTCTCAAAGCGCAAGAGGTTTCTTGTTTGTTAATGGACATTCGATCACAGTTACCGAAACATTTCGTCTATTCGAAAACCCGTGAAAAGCGATAGTGATCACATCTAGTAGTGTTCGCTAAGAGCTTTAAATACTTATATGCGTATTCGATTCTGCAGTGGGCGTAGTTGAAAATACATATTTTCGTAATCCACACCGATCCGTCCGTCTATAAACGCATGATATCATTTTGTTCAGGGACTATAAAAGTCAGTAATCTTCAACGTAGGATGTGGTACATATGTTATTTATTTATTTATTTTAACACAAACATTGGTACAAGGAGGCACCAAATACATATGCGCCACACAAATCTCATTCGATATGTGTGAGGGCTGTGATACTGCCCGGGTGCCCAAACCAAAACAGGTGGTTTTAGGGGGCCGCACCCCGACCCTTTGACCTAAAGGTCTAACCCACAAGGCAGTGAAGCATCGTGAGGAGATGCATTCCCATGGTAGCCGGTAACCAACGATTGGTTCATACGCCATTTGTTCCCGCAGGATACTGGAGCCCATGTGCACCATTGGTTTGGAATCCGGTTAAAGCGCTGGACATTCGCTTTTCATCCTCTCATTTTCGTAAACAACACACCCGCCACGAGAAGGCAGTGAGTTGGACTTTTCTGGCAGAGGCTTTATACGCGTGGCCATGTGAGAGCGTTTCGAGGGGGAGAGCGGACTCTCCCCACTCTCGGCCGTACCAGGGCATTTGGGTACATATGTACACCGGTTCAGACTTCTTCTACACATCAGCACATTAAGATCAAATTATCAAAGTAGATAACAAAGTTGAAGGAGTAGTAACAGCATCACTGCCGGCAGAAGACTCTAAGACCTTAATCAGGGAGTTGGTGTAGTCCGACATGGCAGTCATATATAACTTTTATACCTTCTTACTATATCATAATTTGATTATCTCTCCACTTCCACTTGATTCCAGCGTCAGGAAATTAAGTATGATATGGGAGTAGCCGAGATATTTGTATCACCTAGCTTCCGAAACCTCTGTTTCACTATAGTTATATCAAGTGAGTTTTCGCTACCGTACCCGAACATACACTACCGAACCTCACTATTGCTAACATAGTGTTGCCACTGAAGTATCAACAATCCTTCGGAGATAATGATGGTCGAACAGAGCCTCTGGATATGGAGAGTCTACCTAAGGGATTTGTAAAACCCTGATTCTAACCCAATGGTGCACATGGGCTCCAGTATCCTGAAGGAACAAATGGCGTATGAACCTATTGTTGGTCACCAGCTACCATGGGACTGCGTCTCCTGATGCTGCCCCACTGCCTTGTGGATCAAACCTCTAGGTCGAAGGTTCCGGGTGTGGCTCCCTAAGAAAACCAAGTGCTGGGGTCTGGGCACCCGGGCAGTGTCATAGCCCGCACACAAATCTAGTGACTTGTGTGGCGCATACGTATACGGTACCCCTTTGTACTAATATTTATGTGTTCAAATAAATACCCTCAAATCTAAGGCTCTAGGTTTCACTAACGTAGGACAGGACTGCTCTCGCCGCCGTGTTGTGTATTCGAAACTTTGCAGATATCACGAGGATGCTAAAGATGTCCGAGACTGGTATAAACCACTCCGGCTTTCACTATACGTAGATCGGTTTCATCTGTCACGCCATCACACATGCTCATGCAAAATTAATCAGGAACATAAATAATGAAGGGAGGTATTTGTATGTTTCACTTTACGTGAAGTGTTTGTGTGCCGTGAGAATGATACTAAACGCACACTATCCTTCTACCGATAGTATAGAAGTACATCCCTCTCTAACGAATTAAAACGAACCATAATACAAAGAAATACAACTGTTGTTGCCTGCCGACGACGATGGAATGGGATCTCTGCTGTTTCTGGGTTTAAATTTATCATTACTCAAACCAACATCGCGAGTCGAGGCAGGCGTTGATCGAGGATACGTACTACATTTCCCAAGCATTCTAGTTGATGAAGATTCACAACCTCATTAACTGGCTTGCCATTTTCCCCTTCTACTCTGCGCCTATCCTTACCATTACTCATTCAGCAATCCCTTAATATGTGAGTACTGCTTCGAGGACACATTTGGTAAAAAACTTCTAACTTTCCTATGTCTTTCATTCTGTAAAACAATTGGGCATATAATTTGAGTATTGACTGTGATAAGCCATTTACTTCTTATGACTGCTACCCAGATTTCGTACTGATGCGGTTAAGAGGGTCGTTTCCGCTACATTATTCAATCGGTTCGTTCAGCCAAGTTATTTCACTCGAAATTGAACGGAAAAACAAATGTCTCTGTCTTGTACCATCATTTCGTACGTGTAAGGATGGTAGCGTACAAATATTCCTAATACTGCATGGAACGTTTATGCTGCAAAACTTAAATGTTCTTATTGGTTAGTCATTAGTATTACGATTATTTTCTTATTTTTCAAGAACATATATTATTTGAAGAGAGAAAATTTGTTGCAATGAGTTGTTTCTTTTCATCATAGCATGTGAGAACAAAACAAGAGTATCCTCAACCATCAAGTTTGCTGCTTAAAAGAGCTGTGAATGAAGCTAAAGCCAGCACAATGGCAACTGAATCTAGTTTGCACACTCCAGCAAAACGAAAACCGATCGCTCGACCAATAGCTTGGTTAGTTGTGAACATACAAATAATCCTATTTTCGTTGATAATTTTTTCAACTAATTTTTTCATAAGTTTACCTCAAAGTAAAAAATACATTTTAAAGTCAACCTATTATGTTATTTTCCTATCTTTTGTTTTTAAATTTTATTTCTAATGTTATTAAAGGGCCGAAATTTTGGAGTAGACCAAAAACAAGAATTTAGATAAGTTTTTTGTAAACATTTCCCTAACCTCACTCAATGGACTATAAGGTAATGAGGTAACAATAATAATAATAATCAAAATTAATAAAGCGGGCATCTCCAATTTGAAAAAGCTTTTTATGGTGATGTAATAAATATTCTCGAGATAAAACAGAATTCCGAAACCAGGTAAGCTGAAACAGTGCGGTATATGTGTTATACAGTCTTCAAGCTGTGTTCATTGTAGGAAGATTAGTGATACAATTTGACTTATTTCAGAATAAGGTACGCGAAGCAGAATATAAAACTGTAACTCAAAGATTTGTGATCATATCATTGAACTACTAAACCATAAATACCATTTTTAGTAATGATCATACAGACTTTACCGTAATTGTTTGGTAACAGCTGCCTTATCAAAATTTAGTAAATCTGGTTATTTCTAGCAATCATAAGACATCCATGTGTTGTTAGTTGTGAAGTAGTTGGCAAACAGTATAGTTGCCGAAGATGTATCATACTTTACGCCTCAATTTCATTGAACTTCATCATTTAATGATATTTCTATATTCATGTCGAAACAGTTAAATTGATAGAACTCCAATGAAGAATCTTGTTTTAATTTCTTAATGTTATTCTGATAAAAAACTGTTCTGAGTTTTAAGGTTTATTTTCTGTCCGAAACCATCTTTTAACATCTATTACTTTCTAGATTCCATTATCTGATGTAAGTGTTCAGAATAATTGATTATAATGACATAAAAATCGAAATTGAAATCTAAGTGCTGTGTGATAGATCTCTATAACTAGAAATGAAATAATGGCTCACAACAATGTATGTGACCAGTTTTAGGATAGGAAACAGTACATCGACAACTTCATCATTTCAAGCTGACAATTAAAACAGTAGGAATAAGGATAACACAACTGGCAACTACTAACTATTGCAAACTGAGTATACACCCTACCCACATGTTCAGGTTTGTTCTGCCACCTGTAAAACTCGTTGTACATACAGATAGAACTTTATTTTTTCAATTAAGTGCGACCAATGGCAATGTATCGCACCAATGCATTTAAACCGATAAATGCTTATTTGTTGTCATTGGTTTAAGGTCTGTCAAAAAAGAGCGGTTATTACCACTTATTGTGGCTGACTTAAACCATTATTTCAATCATATCTGTGAGGGGCGGCCAGACCAAAACATGGCACAAGTCCATGAAGTCACTGACAAGTGGACTGAATCATATTGGTAGTTGTAGACTACCTGGTTGGGGACCACGAGATGATAGCAACCGATTATTAGAGACCCTGAATGACATGGCTCAAAATCGTTTGCAATGGCGCAGGTGCATCCACTCTTTGTGTTCTCCCAAATTCTAATCTTCTGAATTCTTCATATCCCTCTCTTTTTTCTCTTTCCAAATTTGTTTCACTGTATTATACTCCTTGAATAACATCTTCAAACCCTAATTTTTCTGATTACAGCTCATAATTTTACTACATCTAGCACTACGGAATTTGAATCGACCACTGCATCTCTGTGCTAATGTGGTGTGACAACTCGAACTGATGTACGTACGTACGAAGTTCTACGTTGTTACTGACTGACTGACTGACTCATATCTGTGAAATGTTTACATTAAATGTCATCTACTTTCTCTTGAAATTATTTACTTTTTATTTGTATTCTTCTACCTATTTTATTACTCAATAAAATGTTTTGTTTGTCTATGTTCAGTGCTTATTTGTACTACATTTGTAGTTGAGTAAGATAAAATATATTATTTTCTACACAGACTAAGACAGATGTCATTTGATATTATCAAATAACAATAGTATTTTAGCCATTTTGGATTTTCAATGATTATATGTTGACTGTATCAAAGCGGCCATGTTTAGATAAACAATATATCCCATAATGTTAGATTTTTTTATTTAAACTTCGGCATAGAGATACTAGAGATAAAGAGAAGGATTATGATGCGTTTCTATTTATTCACAATTCTTTTTAAAATGAAATTGTGAGACTGCTTATTGATTTGTAGAAAAATGAACTGAATACATCTTATAAACAGCCCGCACTTGAGTTGCTAAGCACAGTTTAAAGGTAAACCTAATAAAACAGTACCAAGTAATTTTTCAAGACAACTTAAAACCGTGACTATTGGGAAACTAGCGGTGGCCCCGTGTTTAACGAATTATTGTTTTCCTCGACCTTTTCTTCATTTGTCTATATCTGGACCATAGTTTTGTTCTTAAAACTAGGTAGTTAAGTATTCACATTATATTTGGGAAATAATACCGTGTCATACGTAAAGCACTCACTCACTAATGACATTAAAAGGTGGTTGCGCACTATTGCGAACTCAGGTCAGACACGTAAACCTTTGGATGGGACCTCAGTTGTCCGAAGGTTTTCCACTCATCGTGATTCTTAAAGATAATAATCTAGACAACATATGAGGTCGTAAACGCACATTCTTGAAAAGTTCCATGGAAGGACGAAACGGCTTTACAGTGCATCCACATTTTTGATGGTTCCCTAGCTAGGGTCGATCCGTGATGTAAACTATAAAACTTTAACAATCTCCACAAACCTCTGTAGCAACTTTCATAAAGTTTCATGGGATTAAAATCAATAGAATTTACGAGTAAAGTTCCTAAGGTTTTGAAAAGTAGACACATTTACTGTCATGCCAATAGTTTGTTAAGTTTTTACTACCTTTAGAATATTCGATGGATCGTTTTTCATTTGTGGTTATGATTTGTACTAGCTTGATAACTGAACCCGAATTGATCCTATTTCGTGGTATGATGTGCAATATAAAAATTTTGTAGCTAAAGGGAGACTTTTTACTCAATTTTTGCTCCAAAAAACAGTTCTGATGTGTCGTCGTCTTCACAGCCTGATTCTACAAGGTTTTTCATTACGTTATCTGGTGCCGAACCTAAATCCACACAAATGATTACTTCTCCTAAACTTCGTAATTCTTCAACAGTTGGTCGCTTGCGTTCTGTTGGGTACTTCGATCAGACAGATGTACTGAATGACAGAAAACTTCGACTGGGTCCACGCTTAGTAAATACTAAATCATTACACGGGGAAGGTAGAATAAGTGCTAAACATCGCCTTGGCCCTGTTATTCAATCCAATGGACGCGTAGTTAGTTTATCTCGAAGTGATGAAATTTCGACTACAATTCAGGGAATGAATTTGACGATTTTGTTGAAGGTGACTACGTAGAATTAGCATGTGACGATGCATTCGGAAATGATGGAATCGGTGATGAAAACCTACAACTCAAAGGAAACTATGTACCCTTGTCAAAAATAACCCTAGCAGATAAATTAAGTCAACCAACACCACAATTAGTGGTGAATTTGAATGAAACAGATGAAGAAGAAGATGTTACTGGTTTTTTGGCTGGAGCTGAAAGACAGAAGAAAAACACCTCAATCAAACATAAAGAAAAGATACAAAATGATATTACCACAGAATCGGAAGCTCAACCAAATATTCCAAGGTTAGAATTTTTATGATTTCACTAAAATGTATTTCAAAATTTGAATTAATGTTGTCAAGGTGTGATCTAAGTTATTGAACAAGTCAGTATCAGTTCGTAAACATGACATGGATTATAATACACGCTTGTTCATAGTAAAAACTCTTAGTTTACGATTTATCAGGTGCCTAATCACTTTAGTTAAATATTACTATTTGTTTCTTCTCTTACTTACACTTAAGCTGTACATCAACAGTATTAGTCTTCCGTAGATAGATAAATATAAAACCTCAAAATCTTAAACAAATTGCCAACATAAATGAAAGATGAAAAAAAGTCCATAATCAGTAAAAAATCAGTGACATCCAATATTCAGTCAGGATTTAAATGTGACCAACCTGTTCTCGTGTGCTGTTACGGGTATGAGGGCTGATGTCACTTCCCCGCCGTCCACACCGTGAAAGGGTATTTCTTGAGGAACGTGGAAAGAAAGTCAGATTAGTGTTGGTCTTAACGACCTGGGAGCATGACCACAGAGCCCAAGGGACAACTGCTTGAGACCGGTTGTGCACAGCCTTTTTGTGGGAAGTTTTTAACGTGTTAGCTTCGTTCTTCAAAAGGCCTTACCGCCGCAGATAAAAATCCGTGAGGTAAGGTGAGGTGCGACATTTTAGGATCGACCTTTTCTAACCCCGTCATTCCTGTAAGAAGGCAGTATCACTGCAGATGCTGGTTCCCTCGGGGAAGCATCTTACTACTGTCACACCCCTCTACAGTCAGCAGTACGACTTCGCTCTCAGACCTTGAGTTGAGTTGCTGTTTTTAATCTTACAGTTCTCCAATTGACCTGCCTGGAATAGTAGAACCTACAGGAACATACGCTCCAGCCAATATAGCTCGGTAGGATCAACACGATAGGCAAGTCCGACCACCATGTTAAGGCAACAGCTACGGTCGGTATCCAATATTCAGTGGAATATGATAAGTTTACTAGACATGCACCATAATGATCAATTTTACATCGTATCATTCAAAGTCCCCAGTCATTCACTTCTGTCTCTGTGATGGTATCAATCAAATAGTCTATATTTATGGCCATAATCCAGACCAGTAATAAACTATGAACCCCGGCAACTTGTCCTAGTTCCATGACTGTTCATTTAAATCTTATTCTGTAACATATTAAATTGTATTCGAAGACATCCAATAAGAACTTAGTCATAGTTTTATAATTTGGAATAATACAGTTGTAATCATTCCCTATTTCAGTTCAAACTCCTAACTTATTTTTAGGTTTCGTTTATATTCTTGATATTAGAAATAATATCCACTTGAATGGTCTGTTTGACTCTATCTATACCTGAAAAACAGCTAAAGTAAAGACTCAATGCATCATTTATTTCAAACATAAGTGAATTATCCAAAACCTTGTTGTCAAGACAAAAATATATTAGTCACTTCCTTAGAGTTTCAAGTAGTTTCTTCTGTCTTATAAAAAAACATAATCAAAACTTATATATCTGTTTACTTTTAGCTCATTGGAGCGTTGTAAATTCTGGCCTAATTGTCGCAATGGTAGTTCCTGTCAGTACATTCATCCCACAGAACCATGCCAGTTGTTTCCACGATGTAAATTTGGAGCAACATGTACATTTGTCCATCCACCATGTCGTTATGGAGCATTATGTAGTCGCCCTGACTGTGCTTTCACACATTCATCGAAAAAAGTATTGCGTAAGTGTTATATATATGTGATGATGCCGTTGCCGACTGATTGTTTTTATGAATTCTAGTTCACCATCATAATACCACTGGGTTTGCTATTCAGACGGCCAACTAGAAAAACATCTCTTTGTCGTTTAGTTCTAAATGAGGATTTGGGTTTATTTTCGGACATTGTTTGGCATTATGTAAGTGTAACGCGTACTGTTGTGACTTATGGTCCGTCAAATATCACGTAACAAAATCGCCAATCAAAATACCGAATTCTATGACCTTGTCCCTATGCTAAACCAACAACGCGTTAACAATCATGAGCAGCCTTGAGTGTCAACTCGGAATCCTTATCGGTCTTCAACATAGTAGCTTCTCGCCTAGTCCAGCCAGATCAGACTAGAACACAAATGTTAGCCTCCACTTTTTGAGTCTTATGTTTCAGACATACCTTGTTTGTTATACAAGCAGACTAGGCTGCGTCACATCATAAAGTGAAAAGTATTAGTTATACAAGATCAAGCCAAAAGTAGCTGTAAGTACACCGATTACCACGACGTGCAATGCTATCCGGTATTGGAGATGGTTGGAAGAAAGTTAGGGGCGGCCAAACCAAAAGGTGGCACCAGTGCTTAAAGTCACTAACTTGTAGTCTGAGCCATGTTGGTAGATGCAGACTACTTGGTTGGGGTCCGCGTGACTATCGTAACCAATGGTTGGAGACTCTTGGTGACATGGCTCAGAATCGATCACAATGGCGTCGGTGTATACACTCCCTGTCTTCCCTTAAACTAAGAGATTAAAATCGCTTCATATCTTTCTTTCTACGAACCAATTCTTTCTCCTTGTATTATATCTCTATATGCAATCTTTCTCTTATATATTACTACCTTTGACATAACCACTGCTATGAATCCGGTGTTCATCTTGTTGTGCTGATGCGGTATGGCAACCTGGACCGATGCACATATGTGCCTGGTCCTACGTTGTAGCTGACTGACTGAGCTGTAAGTATGGAAGACTGTAATTAATAGACTGGGAATAAATTAGGAGTGGTAAGTCGTATAATAGTCAAATGATATATATATATATATATATATATATATATATATATATATATATATATATATATATATATATATATATATATAATCTAGTTACTTAACAATTTTTCAATAGGAATATATGTAATGATAGTCCATAAATAACTCAACGGTTACCATCCATTTACTCTTCGTTGGGATAAACCTGAAAATTGCACGTTTTAATTCAAGTCTAAATATTTCGTTAGCAGAATTTAAATTTATTCCGGTAACTCTGATCGTAAAATCACTTGAAATGTATATTTCCAAAACATTTAGCAACAAAAGTAAACCATAACGGAAAATTTCATTGCAATGGTACTGACAGCTTTGTTTAGTTTGTCACATAAGCTACAATTGTCTTCCTGTAAATCTTACATTATTATATGTGGTTTTCACCACCTGATGAAGTAAAAGTGATTTTTTTTACCAAACCATCTGATACTGCAAGTATATCTGTATCTAAAGTTAAAAGTAAGAAATCCTAATCTACATTTAAAATAAGCATCTTTTCTTAATTGTTCATGTCTCAAAGACATAGATAAAAGTAAAATCTAGAAAGATTTGTGCTCTGATATTAGCATTACTTGAAGCCAAGTACAAAATACAAAACTGTTCTATTAATTGGAAATGTTAACCTTAGCTAAATTATCTATTTATATGATTCTCTAATGTAGTTTACTCATTTATCGATAGTTTAATTGTTGATATTATTTAATAAATCAATACTTGATAAATCCACTTCATATAATACCAACACTACATTTGTGTCCGTACTGAAAATTTGAAAGACTATAAAACAAAGACAATAATGAAGCTATCTATGGCGAGAACCTAACACAATCATGGACCTGTTCAAATGATTACATCACCCAGTATCTAGTTGGAATGAAAGTTGTGTTTTATAAGTAATATTATTTCTGACCAAATACTAATGTCTAAGCATCGTGATAAACACTTTTAGACCATGCCGTCCAAATTCCAGACAATATTTCACGTGTAATAATAACAACTTTCTTTTCATTAAAAACAACCTATGTACGTCTGATATAACTATGCATTCACAGTAAATTAATTTGAATTAATGAGTTTTATATTGTTAATCAGAATCATTACTTAAACATCCCAATTTTTGTGTTATCATCTTATAGTAGACGTTGTAGAATTAATCTAGCAGTATTAATTTTCACGTACTAGTGTGTGTCTGTGTGTGGGGTTACAAAACCGTCCGTTTATTAATGTATGCTACGTTAAAACGAGTATGAATTTTTTAATTATCTGTTTATTTTACTATTTGCGTTTTTATAGCTGTCGTATCTGCCAACCCAGCTCAAATAGTATGCCGTTTTCAAAACAGATGTACAAATCCCCATTGTCAATTTTATCATCCACCTGTTGTTGTTCAAGCCCCTCCAATCATTGTTCGAAGTTCAGCTTCAACTGTCCCTGTTTTCAATAGCCAAATCCCATGTCGATATGGTTCTGGTTGTACTAATCGTACTAAATGTCCTTTCCTTCATTCTGATTTACCCTCAGTTGATCAACTTAAATGGATTGCACCTTCCAAGAAACAACAATCATCCAATCCGATTTCCACGAAAGCAAACTCTACAGAGAAAGTAGTTAAGTCTGTAACCACACTTAAAGAATAATGGATTAGTTGTTATTAGTGTTATCGACTAAAGCTTTCTTAAACACTATTAGTTAACAATATCGTGTTTTGTCATGCATTTCTGCTGTTTATTTTTTTCAATTTTAATAATAAATAATTGGGAGTTCGTAGTGTTTATATATTGCTGATGGATTCAAATATAAAACATTAATAAAAAAATATTTGAACTTGAGCTGCATGCAACTGAAAGTTTATCAAGAGTGATTTACTTTCTCGTATTTCTTAGGATTAAAAATTACAAACGTATGAAGAAAGTGGGTTAAAACTAAGATAATAATATACCTGTAAATTTTTTTATCGATGTTTCAGTCAATAATTTATGATAACTCTGGGTTGTTGTTACAGTAAATTGTCTTACACACCATAATCTGCTGAATATTTTTATATGACCTAGCAGTACTTGTGGATGTAGTATGTATACATAATCAACAATTATTTGCAACACCGTTGATTCATTTATATCACAACAAAGTATTTTCATACTGAATTTTAGCCATTACCCTAAGTATGTATATCAATTGTGTCAGAAATGTAATAAAACATCCGAGTATTGTTTCTTCTGGACATCTGAATAGGAAATCAGGGCTGCTTTCGATTCGTTGGACAGGACTGTTCTCTGGGATTGTCTATTGAAGAAGGGTGTGCCTAAAAGCCCTATATACAAACACCTTAGGTAGAGTGAGGGCATATAACCACCTCTCTCCGCTGTTCCACTCAAGCAGTGGGGTTAGACAGGGTTGCCCAATATCACCATCCCTCTTCAATTTTGCCATCGATGACATTCTGGAAACAGCTCTGATGGATGTAAGTAATGGCGGTGTGGATCTGTTGCCTGGAGAAAGACTTCTCGACCTTGAGTATGCGGATGATATTGTCTTACTGTGCGATAACGGCCAAGCCATGCAATCCGCACTTAATCAGTTGGCAATTAGTGTCCAACCTAATCATGATTTACTGATGGCAAATGTTAACTGACAATAGTAAAAGTTATTTTCATACACATAGTTCCCTTTATTATCTTAAAGAGAGCAAGCACTAATCTTTGTTCTTGCTCTCTAAAAGATGTCCGTAGGTATGGTATGTGCTTTGCACCTTCGAAGTGCAAAGTACTTCTACAAGACTGGAAGGATTCTAATCCTGTAATCACCCTGGATGGTGAGCAGATAGAAGTAGTCGATAAGTTCGTGTATCTAGGTAGCTGCATAAGTGCTGGTGATGGCGTGAGTGATGAGATCAATGCAAGTATATTGAAAGCCAAAGCGGCTTATGCCAATCTGGGCCACCTTTGGCGCCTTCGTGATGTTAGTCTGGCTGTAAATGGTTGGATCTACAACGTGTCAGTGAGAGCAGTTTTTCTCTGTGCTTGTGAAACCTGGCCTCTCCGAGTTGAGGACGTTAGACAACTCTCTGTGTTCGAGCATCGCTGTATCCGAAGGATTGCTGACATCCAGTGGCAACACTATGTTAGTAATGCAGAGGTTCAGCATCGTGTGTTCGGGCGCAGAGACGATAATGCAATTGGTGTCACTATCTTGAAAAATCGACTTCGGTGGCTTGGACATGTTCTATGAATGTCGTCCCAGAGAATTCCTCGTAGTATCCTGGCTGTCAAAAGCGGAGAGGTGGTCAGTGTATGACATGGTGTCGTGGTATGAAAGAAAGCTGCAAAGGACTGGCTTCTGTTGGTCCTTCACGACTCCCTGGTTGGGGTTCGAGAGATGGTGCGAAACAGTGGCTAGCGACGTTATCAGATATGGCTCAGAATAGAAGCCAGTGGCGATCCTGCTGTAACCTTCTTTTACTTTCTTCATAAAAAACGGTTCTATTTTCCTTAACTGAAAGATTTCTTCTGATTGTACCCTTCCGTTCCCCCCATTATTATTATTACACCACCATTCACTAATCTGTGAACGTTATTTTTCTTTTTTTCTTGTACGCACCTTACCTTCTTCTCTTCCCATTCTTATTGTTTTGTGTAGCATATATATATATATCTGGTGTCCCCTTGACCCAATATTTATGTGTTCAAATAAATAAATATGAATAGGAACTATACTGAAATTAAATCATGCCTTAACTTTTGATGTGTTCACAAATTTAAATGAACAATCTAAGTTCTTAATTCTCAGTTTATGTTAAGATAGCACACCTGATAAATATAAATCTAGTCAGCCATACCTTAACAGGCAGTTAAATAAGTTTGATCGTAAATACAATCAATACAAATATCAAAAAAGCCTTACATTAACCAATATGTATCATGTATTAAGACATGAAGTAATCAAGTCTGCACATGTCCTGATAATTTTTATTTATTGTTTTATAGATAATGTGTCTTAAGACTAATTATCCCAGCGAATATGCTTTGAAATTGATTTCCAAATAAGTTATTATTGTTCAACTTTGCAATAAAAATAATAACCATTCTGACAATATTCAAGTGAAATTATCGTGGGTGCACAAAAATCTTATCACTATTATTCTACGCTGTCAATGGTGAATATGATACAATATAGTGTTTATAACTTGGGAAATGTGAGGGCTTATACCAAGTAACATAAAAATAGAACAAAACAACTTGTCCGAATATTTTTTATTATGTGGAATAATTAGTCATTATATCCAAATATAAGTAGTATATATCTATACACCTAGTATTATTAGTAGTAGTGGGAATAGTTTGTTTATTAACAAATTCATCGAAAGACAATGTACATAGAGACAGTAACAACAACAAAACAGGTAAGAAACGAGAGAAAAAAATGAAAAACAAAGGTCTAGACACTTTAGAAAAAATGATCCAGTTTTAGAGGGAAAGGTTAGCCGTAATATTCGACGTTCTCCTTTTACTCCATCTCTTAGTAAGGACAACATGAATAAAAAGAAAGAAAGCAATTATATCAATTGAAAATGAAAGAAATGAATTAATGAGATAGAGAAGTTCTTTTAAGGAAAATGGAATAAGTGTGATCATGTAAGTCACACCACATGTGAATAAATAACATTCATTATTTATCTGTTTCTGAGTTTTTTATTCCCCATAAACAATGTATAATCTAGCTATCTACTTATAAATCAATACTAGTATTAGTTATTGTAGAAAAGAAATCTTCACATTAAAAACAACAAATACAATAATCATTCATTACAAGTTGGAAACACACATATATGAAAGCAAAAGAATTGAAAGAATGTGTATAATCCTGTTGAAAGTGTACATACAACAACAAAATATGGTCAATAAATATTTCTTTTTAACAAAAGTAAATTAGAATTATAATACTAGACGGAAAAATTACAACAATAGTTAATCACAAATAATGACAAAATTGCGACTTTCAAGTTATCTATCATTGGTGAATAGATTGTGTTTTTATCATAGAAAATAATTCCTCTAAATGTTTATAAATGAAAATATGTATGTTTGTGTGCATATGTAAACAGGGCAGTTATTAGTTGTATTATAAACACTGTGTAACACTCTCAACATACATGAATGATATATAAGTACACATGAATTTGATCCCTGTTTTTTTCTATTAGTATTAGTATATTGTGTTTAAAATATTTTTAATCATTGTCTACAATTTTAATAAACATACAATATCTAACAGTAAATAGTACAATCTAGTTGTTAAGGTGATTTGTCAACAAAATCTATAACCATAAATGTATTCAGTTATTATAATTATTATTTCATATTTTCAGACAACATTCTAAATGAAACATAGAAAGTACTAGTGTTTTCTTTTAATTCAATGTGAGTAGAAAAATGTTTATTGCACAGAACACATTCAAATTATATGTAAACATATATGTATTTTTGAGTGCGTAGACAACTGTAAAATGTGTACATACATATCTAACAAAACGTTTGAAAGTTTGAACGAGCGGAAGTAAAGATAGCGAGTTATATCACAGACGTAATACTTTTCAACTCGAAGATTCATATGTATATACGAATACCGAGCATTTATATCAATCACATAACGATGGAGAGTGTATATGAGTAGAAGGGATAGGGAAATAGATTGTACAACGATCTGTTGTTTGACGAAAAAAAAAGTCAGCTCCTAGGTTGGCAAACACTGACGAAACTCACTGACTAGTTACATGAAACTAATAAACTTGATGTAGATCAATTAAATTAAAACAATACAACATTTTTCGTCTATATTCACTCTACACTACTAGTCACAATGCATAATTAGTCATAACAGTATGCAAACGTTTACAAAAGTATGTTTGGTGTGTGTGTGATTAGTGGAGTGAGCAGTTTACATTTGTAATGATAAAAAATTAACTTTATCCACATATAGAATAATGATGATGACAGTAGTAATACTGTGTTCTTGGTCTTAATCAATGTTGAGACACTATCAATAGTGCTAATGTAATTTATGTCATGAACACTAGGATGATACATTGAAGAAAATAGTATAAACACCTGTCACATCACAACACAGACAAGAAGAAAAAGACGACAGTAGTGTTCACCCTGAGGAATAATAATAATAAACAGAACAATGATATGAGCAAACAAACGAACACCAAAATAACTGAAATCTGTTTATGCAGTAAAATCAATCAGAAAGAAATGCTTGTTTTTATCGTTATTGAACGAGAATCTAGATGACAGTTGCGCGTTTCAAAGCTAAAAGATCTTCTTCATATTTACGGATAAATTCTTCACGTTCCTGATGGGAGTGTAAAGGAAAAAAAGGGTATAAGATGAATATAAATTGTATAGAAGTATGACTTTTTTTAGTTAATACACTAAAAGTGTTTACTTTAAGATTATTTCTATTTTAAACGTGTCTATAGCATCAAGTGTCCCAGAGTGAACATCAACTCTCTGAGATGCATGTACATCCAGCTGATGAGTCCCAAATAGGACGAAACGTGCGTCCTGGATTCCACTGCTAGCCACTATCCATCATTGCTTACAAATAACTTTTCTTTCTTTCACAATTTAAATAAAATTAAATCTCTTATTTAATATCGGATAAATAAATAAATGAAAAGATTCATCAAATGGTGTCAACGCATTAGTTTATAAGGCAATTATATAATATTACCTTAAATAGCTTGAATACATGAATTTTATTAGATATAAATATTGCACATAAAAATAGCTGACCATGTATCAACCATTTACGAAACAAAGATAATAAAAGATACAGAAAATGTACACTTGGTTGATATGGTGATAATCAAGATTATTATTAAACAATAGAAGGTGGTTCATGAGAACTTGTAATTACTTTTTTTAATTTTATTTATCTAATTCACGTATACAACACAAGCGCATAATGTTGTCACACAATTCTCTGATTGAAAATGTAAAAAAAAAAGCGCTATCAAACAAAGAGATGATGTGTGAAAGTGAAATATGACTGATCGTTGAGCGTGGACGAACGGCCACATCCTAAAGACTATTAAATATGTGATTTTCTTTCTAATCATTTCTACTATGAACTCATTGTGTGACTGTTTGTAGTTGTAAGGAATAAAGTATTCTCTAGTGTTAATCTGATTCTCTATTTTGGGTCGCGAATCCTGGTTCTGATATAACGTGAGTAGAAGTCTTATTAACGTATTATCGTAATATATGTGTAACGGAGTAAAATATTTCAATCATTCGTTATATCAAAAAGATTATTAGAAAAATTAATGAATTGAAATGAAAAAAAATTTATTACTTTTTTAATTCCGTTGATGATTTCTTGTTCATCTAAAGTATGACGTTTATTTAATTCTTGTGTTTGTTTATCATGTCTTTGAGCTTGTAGTTTACGTTGATCTATAAATCGTTTTGTATTATAATCATTTAATTCGCGTATACGACGATCACGTTCTGCTTTATTGCGTAATTTACGATCATTCATTACGGAACGGTTTGATTCAATTGAAGCTTTAGTTTGTTGTGCTTTCATTTCTTTCACTTCACGATCTTGTATAATGCGTAATTCACGTTTCTGTTCTTCTTGAACCTCTTTCATAATCTAAATATTAAACAAGAAAATATATTTACTCGGTATTGTTTACTTGAATCTTCCCAATGACGTGTAGGACTGCAATTGATCAGTCTGTTATTGACATATGTGCATCCTATGTAGATTGCATCGTTATTGCCCTAATTCACAAGCATTATAAGCAAAGATAGATAGTGGCTAACAGTAGAGTCTAAGACGCACGTTTCGTCCTATTCGGAACAAGTCAGTTCGATGTACCTCCATCCCTGTGTTGATATTCGTTCTATGACTCGAACTCAGCACCATTCAATTCAAACACCATCACGTTATCCACTTACCTACTGAGTCCTGATAGTCGTCAGCTTATGCAATGGTGTGAAATTTAATTCACTTTTCTATTGGTCGTTCGAATCTTCCCATCGATGTTTAGGATCCCACTACTAACCACCATCCATCTCTATTTATAATTCAATTTTGAGATAATTTCCGTGAAAGACTGACCGTAGTTGATGAACCATTGAAAACAGAAATATTCACTGGAACAGATGTTCCATTCTAGTTTAATGTCTTAATCAGACCGTGATGAATGATTGAATTTACAGTCGTCAAGTCTCACTGTGAGACTATTGGTTGTGAAAGGAGCTACCAGGACTCAGCAGCTAAGCGGATAATGTGATGGCGTTTCAGGCGAATGATACTAGATTCGAGTCCCAGAGTGAACATCAACTCTCAGACGTAGGTACATGCAGCCAACGAGTCCCAAGTAGAACGAAACGCGCTTCCTGGATTCTACTGCTAGCCACTATCCATCTTTGCTAAGAACATACGTTTCATGAAATAAATAGTTAACCAAAATAGGTAGGAAAACATTTAAAGAATAGTACTGGTTAATTCACGAAGAGATCACAGTCGAACAAGTATTGAAGACCAGGAAGCATTGGATAGATTTTACGTTGTATTCTGGGACTTCTCATCAGTGAGCGTTCATAACTCCGCTAGAGATCGAAGCCAGAATCTTCAATTCTCGGAGCAAGTGCCTAACCCGTAAACTACTACAAATCATTGGAGGCCGACTAAGTGGTCTACAGGTTAAGTACTCTCCATGAGACCTGAGAATTTTCAGTAGATTCGTGAACGCCTGAGAAATGTCGTACTAGGTTCTAAAGCAATGGTATGAAGATGTCAACTTTTATAACAACCCTGAAGAGCATAGAGATATCACATGCCTATTTTCACACATTATCCCAAGGTCAAACGGTAGGCGAGACATTATGTATGAGACATGCTATTTGAGGAGGTAGATTCTGCACTTAACCATGGTCATAACCCCTACATATCCTAGTCTAGGTGAGAAGGAAAATGGTATGATGTATATCTGTTATTTATATACATTGTAATTTAGTTTAGCATGTAGTTGTTCATGTAGTCGTCTCATGAGTATAGTGGGCTCGGTATACTGTAGGAAGAGCATATAGCAACCTAATCGGTCAACGCAAGACAATTTCAAGATGAGTTAATCTATTACAATACTTAGTTTTCAAAGTGTTAGTAATTTATTTTACAAGGACTTTTTACACTACTATAATTTAATATAACTGAACAAGTAAACGACAGAATCAAAATCGAAAATAATTCATATCGAGAATTGACATCGGATTGTAAAAATAAACTGCTATTTTACGTGCGAACGCTTAACCTCTAGACTATTCAGTCGGAATCCAATAGTGTATATGTCTAACTTCAATCAATTCGAGATATTCGACAGCTATCTTCCATTCTCCCCGGTGAAAAATTCTCACACTCTATATGGTTGAATTCCACTAGTCACAGCTTCTCACTAGAACACATGGAGGAGACCAGTGCTTTTTGATTCTCAGTGGTGGTCAAACCAAGATCAGTTCTTGATTTAAACAAGGAAAACAGAGAATTTACTAATTCTACGAGTATTAATTTTCATCTTTAGCAAAAAATGAAAATAAAAGACCTACATTATTTTCAAAGTATGATTTGACTGAGATTATTTAGCAAATCATAGATCGATAAAAATAACAGAAGAAACAGAAAAGAAGCAACACAAGACAACAACGACAAGAAACACTATTTTAAAGTAAAGCGAGAAAGAAATAACAGTATAAAATGAGTTCATTTTATAATTCAAGGCTTCTTAACAAGCTGGAATTGGCTTTAAACAATGAAGTCAAGTTCGAAACAACATAGAAAATTTTTGAACTTTATCATTTGAAAGCTGTGTTTGAAAAGGAGTAAAGTATGCTCTCACAGATTTATGATCACTAACCACTTAACTGACAGTATATATAGTGTGTATATTTTTAATGCGTTTCAAATAATTGACAACCAATAAATAAAGCTTTCAGTTAACTTTGGATGGGTTGTTATGATCGAAGGCCTTCAACCTGACCTTGGACATGGTAAAATAATCACAACGGTTTAACATTCTTCCATTACATAGCCATTCACTGACAACGTTAATACAGATTTTGCATTAACTAGATGACCTAATTATGTAACCACTCATTCGTTAAACAATTTACTCATTTAACATCTCAACAGCTAATAATAGCACACTTTACTTTTTATGAATTCATTTTCAACATATAAGTACTAATCATTTTAAACAACCACGTTAAGTATATTTTGTCTTTGCTAAAAAGATATATAGTTGTGTAGTTTTTTTCATCATTACATCTTATTTCTTTCTTAAGAGGATAACACATCGACAACATTTTACTAATTCGAATTTTCATATTAATATTTGTCGCTACTTGATTGATTATCATGGCTTTTAGTTTGCAGACTTAGTATTTAGTGACATCTGAGGACCTTTAGATATAACAGAGTCGTTTCTCTTCAAATGTGACTTCCTGAAAGTTCCATCCCCCCTATTAATATGCGAACTATTAACTTTTAAGTTTTTTTGTATGATAGACATCCCGACTATTAGGGTTCCTATTCGTTGCGTAGTATTAGGAGAATCATTAAATGTGGGTAAATGGAATTTAATGTAGTTTAACAAGAAACTCCAACAATTTAATCGTTCTTGATAGGATCTGAACAATCTTCTTCATATTCCTAATGTTTTTCGCGTGTTGTTTTGAAATAAAATTCATTGACTTCCTGTATGAAAAACGGTGCTTATTATAGTACTATTAGTAGTAATTTATAAGCTCTGCTGTGGCTGATGAGGAGCTTCGAAATCTTACGAATTCACGCTATTCTCCATAGATTGTCGTACTTTATTTAAAGTTATTAGATGAAGCATTAATATTGATATAAGAATAATAAAATATTGTTATTTTTTGTTTTCTATCATTTATCTTACCTTAATTAATAAATCTTTACGTGAATCGAAAAAGCTCAACACTAAATCATAAACTTCTTTCATTTGTGTTGATTTTAGACTACTCCATTGATCTGTATGCTGACGGACAAGTTCACACATCTAAATGAATAAACAAATAATATAAAAACAGAGAAATATAAGATAATTAAGAAGTGATTGTTTCGAAGACAAATAAAACACTAAATAGAATTTTATAGAAATGAAGTTATGATTGTTAAAATGAAAGTTAACAATGTTCATTGATAGATGATAAGCAATTACGATACAAAATATAACTGAGTAGTGATTATTTATCCAGATTAATTGTCAACATTGACCCCCTATGAACGATTTAAAATCAAAGATAAAAATTATTAACCAGAAGAATAGGCTTTTTTTACGATAAAATTAATAATATGCTTATACAAAAAAAAAATTATCAGAATGAGTTTTGTGGAGATTTTTAGGAAATTCCACAGGTTGAAATCATGAGTCAATTGAAGCTAGACCACCATGGAAAACGTGGAAGCACTGGACGGCCGTTTCGTTCTAGTATGGGACTCCTCAGCAGTGGTCTAGTTGGTTAAGTGCCTGGCACAAGACTGATAGGTCCAGGGTTTGAATCTCGCGGGGTGCAGGTTCGTGGATGCGCACTGCTGAGGAGTCCCATACTAAAACGAAACGGCCGTCCAGTGCTTCCAGGTTTTCCATAGTGGTCTAGCTTCAATAGACTCATGATTTCAACCTGTGAAGAAAATATTAACAAAAAATTAAACATGAATAAATAGCATAAGTTGACTGGAGAAATCAGTTTGCTCAATTAACTTCAATAAATTAGGAAATAATTGTTAAACTTCATTACAGTACAAAATGGCCTAAGTTTTATTTTGTTTCACATCTGTAATGTTTTTGATTGCACAATCTAATTTGTGGATTTTATAGATATTTAACATAAGAGTACTTGATTAAAACCAATCTGAAATTAACAATTGTAAAAGAAATTATCATAACATAAAGGAAGGTTGAAATGAAAAGAATTATTACCCACTCAGTAGATGTATTTGGATACAATTGAACTGTGAGATTCGTAAGCAAGTGAAAATAAATTAATGACAAGGTTCAACTATGTCAGGAGGGGGAACACCTATCATCTATGGTAATAATGGTATTAAATAATTGTCGAGTTAAATTATGAATTAAATAAAAAAAAATCCAGTGTTTTATGTTTATGGATTGAGTTAAAATAAATAAAAAAAAACACTGAATACTTAATTCAGTGATCTAAAATTAATGTGTTCACAGTGAGACTTGACGACTGTAAATTCAATCATTCATCACGGTCTGATTAAGACATTAAACTAGAATGGAACATCTGTTCCAGTGAATATTTCTGTTTTCAATGGTTCATCAACTACGGTCAGTCTTTCACGGAAACTATCTCAAAATTGAATTATAAATAGAGATGGATGGTGGTTAGTAGTGGGATCCTAAACATCGATGGGAAGATTCGAACGACCAATAGAAAAGTGAATTAAATTTCACACCATTGCATAAGCTGACGACTATCAGGACTCAGTAGGTAAGTGGATAACGTGATGGTGTTTGAATTGAATGGTGCTGAGTTCGAGTCATAGAACGAATATCAACACAGGGATGGAGGTACATCGAACTGACTTGTCCCGAATAGGACGAAACGTGCGTCTTAGACTCTACTGTTAGCCACTATCTATTTTTGCTCATAATGCTTGTGAATCAAGACAATATTGAGGTAATACACACAGTCCTAAATATCAATGGAAGATCCAAGCAACCAATACAAAAATGAATCAAAGTTGGATGTTTTTCTTACAACTAGCCGATCAAAATTAACCCGTAGAAAAGTAGTGAAATGCTGGTGAAATATTTACATCTCAGGCAAAAAAAGAACGTTAAGTCTCATGATCATGTACAGAATAACATTAAAAGCTTTAATGTTGTCACGCAACATCAGGAAAAAGAAAAAGAATTATTTTTTTAGAGTTCATAAATGGGTTTAATGTTATCACAACCCACCAGACATCAATGAAATCAAGTTTAATGGAAGTAATATCAACGAACAAATTTTATGAATTATATTCGAATTGGTGACAATCACAACAAACTAAAAAAACAAACAAACTATTATCATTCACCATAGAAATTACAAGCTGAAAAAGTTATATACCAATCAAAGTATTTAAAAATGATACTTCACATTGATAAAATTCTTTGATGATGCATTAAAATGTTCAAATGAAAAAGAAATATATGAATGAAACTTTTAAACGTATGAAAATTCTGTATTATTATTATTATTCAATTATCAATTATGTAATTTTGATTGTACAATAATTACATAATATGATGAATTGAAAATTTTCAAATTAAAAGAAGAAAAAACAGAAACCAATGCATCAATAATTTTTTCATATATAAATGTTACATAATTTCACTGATTGAAATCATGAGTCAATTGAAGCTAGAACACCATGGAAGCACTGGACGGCCGTTTCGTCTTAGTATGGGACTCCTCCCTCGAGACTGATAGGTCCTGGGCTCGAATCTCGCGGGACGCGGCAACGTGGATGCGCACTGCTTCCAGGTTTTCCATGGTGGTCTAGCTTCAATTGACTCATGATTTCAATTAGTGAAATTTCTAAAATCTCCACAAAACCCCTTCTGTTACATAATTATTTGACCAAAAAATATATACATCTATAAGTTGTTGGATTATTTAAAACACTGCCTTTTAATACACACACACATGTCATTTACAGTGATTTTTAAAGTGTTCAAAATGGTATAAGGAAAAAACACCACAAGTTAAGCAAAAAGAATTGGGATGTGAATAGATTGTATATGAATTTGGTTTAAATGATTTGTGTGTGTGGAAATACAAATAAAATCAGTAAATCATTTAACAGAATAATTTATTATTATATTATTACTATTCAGATTATTTGTTATTAAGTTAATATTGTGGTTGATAGTGGAATCTAACAGCGGAGTTTCGTACCACTCATGATTCTTCAATTGATTGTAAGTGAATCCTAATGTTAAAGTTCACATTAAAATTCAAATCATGTACCTTACGTTTCAACCATCAAATGTATTATCCACTTAGTCTAGATAATCACTAGCTTGTGAGATCGGTATGAAATTTATTTGTAACTATCTTTAGTTTCCAGTTGATGATGCTAAAGAAGAAAACTGACTAGTCTCAAATAAGACGAAACATATGTCCTGAATTCAAATTTTATTCACTATCCGGTTTTTGTAAAAACTTGGAACTAAATGTCAATAAAGAGACAATCCAATTAGGATGCATCTATCCTAATAGAGACTGATCGATAAGATGAAAAGGTCAATCTTCGTTATATCAATGTATTATAAATTTCGTTCCGGTACAACAGGTGTGAAATCTGTTTAGGTCAATATTTTTTGTATCAATTCAGTATGGATTTCATTCAGTGAGACATATATATTCTCTATATAAAATTCAGTGTGAACTACATTCTGTATTGATATTTTACAGAACCTCAGTGTATTTTATTTCTAAATGTTATATTCTTAAATAATCAATAAATGTGTGTAAAAAGTGCATTACATAAATCAATGCAATTTTTGTTTGGTTAGAATGAATTGTTTTTGAGGGTCAGTCAATAAACTCTCCAACTGCATCTGTTTTCATATTCTCATTTTGTATCGTAAACATTGCAGCGGTTACTGATTTCAAATAATAAGAGTAGGACTTAAGTAACATCACTAATCAATTTTAATCTTTAATATATTAGCAACGGTAACATACAAACACAAATAAAAATTTCTAAGTTGTACAATAAACTATTTAACAAGAAGATACGTGTATAGCACAATTTACGAGTTTCATATTATGTGATATAAAGGGAAGAAAAGTTATTATTTGATCGGTTTGCTCATTATAAGTTTTGTTCAACATTATTCCCGTTTTAATTCAATGTGATGATTACTCAATGTGGTATTTGTTTCTGTTTTCCAGTGTGATCTTTTATTCTGTATAATATACGATATTCTTGTATTCCATTCACATAAACTATGCTCAGTTTGTGATTTGTTATAACTGTAAGTATTTTTCATATATGTGAATTACATTCTAATTATTAATGGAAAATGGGTGTACGAATCAATATATAAATGAGTGTGTTTTTGACTACAGTCGCCGTTGTCGTGTTTTGATGGTTGATAAATCATCACTTATACCAGTCTTTGTGTTCTTACACACGCATCGTGGGAATTGCAGAGGTTCCTCATTTTGAGTATAAGTAATAAGTGTTTCCGATATAATAATCAGCGACGACCAGATATAACAAATATCGTTCAATCAACAAGACCTATTATTATTACTATTATTATTATTATTATTATTAACATTTGTATGATTATGTTGATTCTGTTTCGTTCATACTAGTTTTCTTGCATTGTCCTAATGAAAAATGTGGAAGTCTGAATAGATATAAATAATTTGTCCCAAAACTAATATTGACCTCCACTAACCAGCTATCTGGTCAAGTAAGTTTCTATCGATCAAAGCTATTAATAATTTATCACAGGTGGATATAAATGTAACTTATATATATACATATATATAGGGAGATAAAGAGGCACTTTGAATTGTCAATTTGAAAACTAACACATTACTAACCTGATTGTGATGTGTATCTTGTAAAGCAGCATTTTGTCCATTTTCCCTAGAAAAAGAATGTTGTAGAAAACATTTGTATTTAGTAAATTAAAAATAGAGAAAATTAACTTATTACACAAACAACAATACACAGCAAAAACAAATGACTGAAGATAAAAAAAGCTTATGCCTCCCATTAATTAGTCTTTATATAATGATAACTGGATTTAGTGTATTTCAATGTATTTAAGCTATTTAATTACATGTTCGTGGCAATTATCTTTACAGTAGGATTTAGAATAATGAAGTGAGAGAAAGTTTGACTTCTTAAGATCGGTTATGGCTTATATTAGGATTTGAGTAGAAGTAAACTATTTGAAAGATGTAATCATGTCTTAATTACTAAGTATCATGAAATTTAAGTGTTTAAGATGAAATTCAAAACGTACATTATTGGAAATATAACAATCCAAATGGGATGGAAATATGCATAGTTAAAACAACTGACTGATCTTAATTAGACAATTATTGAGATCTATGTAGTATTTCTTAGCTGTTTTGTCCTGGTATAAGTCTCCAGTGAGATCGTGGATGCGCACTGCTGAGGTGATCTATACAAAATTAAAACAACTACTTAGTTTTCCTGTCCTTCAACATCTATTTGACTAAGATTAGTTCATGATGCAAAACTATAAAGATTCAACAACCCCTGCGATTCACCGATACTAAAAATAACAATATATCCACAAGATTAATCATTTAAGTTGATAAAATTAAGTTAATTTAATCGTAATATTAAATATATAAATATATTCGTAAACACTCGAGCGATTGAAATCAAGCAATTCTAACGTTTCTCTTGATATATATATATATATATATATATATATATATATATATATTCGCGTTACGTGATTATTAAGTAACTAGATTATTATAAATTCATATCCCCTGTGTTATAAGCTTTCGGTTGACCCATTAACAGCTGTTAAACGAATTACTATTCTTAATATATTTCCAGTTTATTATTCAGTTTCCCCTACTCACAACCACTTTTTGCTCGATAATATATAATTATTATTTCCTTTGTAACTCCGCCTGGAGTCCCTCCGGGGGCTACTGCCGGTCCCAAGCCCGGATAAAGGAGGAGGGTTGGGCATGGGGTTAGCGTCCCCATCCCGTAGAAAACTAACTCGCTAAAAAAACGCTAACCAGAAAAAATTATTCAAACCTTTTAAACTCTGCCCTGGGAGTCAGAAGGTCTTCATTTAGAAGAATTATGACGCCTCATGATGAAAGCCGAATTCCTTCGGAAGTTACGAGGCCGATGCCCCTTCTGACAACCAGAGCGACCATTTATTTAGGTACATGGAATGTTCGTACAATGTGGGACACCGGGAGAGCCTTCCAAATTGCTGCAGAAATGAGAAGATACAACCTAGAGGTACTTGGGATCAGTGAAACACATTGGACACAAGTTGGACAACAACGACTAACTACAGGAGAGCTCCTGTTATACTCCGGCCATGAAGATGAAAATGCACCACATACACAAGGAGTTGCATTGATGCTGTCCAAACAAGCGCAAAATGCGCTTATAGGATGGGAATCTCATGGACCAAGGATCATCAAAGCCTCGTTCAAAACAAAGAAAGAGGGTATTTCAATGAACATCATCCAATGCTATGCGCCTACCAACGACTACAATGAAGACGCTAAAGATCAATTCTACAATAGGCTGCAGTCAATCGTCGAGAAGTGCCCAACAAAGGACCTGACTATTCTGATGGGAGATTTCAACGCCAAGGTTGGAACGGACAACACTGGATATGAAGACATCATGGGACGACACGGACTGGGAGAAAGAAACGAAAATGGTGAGAGATTTGCAAATCTATGTGCCTTCAATAAACTGGTCATAGGCGGCACCATATTCCCACATAAACGCATACACAAAACCACATGGACTTCACCGGATCACTATACACAAAACCAAATCGACCATATTTGCATCAACAAAACGTTCAGGAGGACTATAGAGGACGTGAGAACCAAGAGAGGAGCTGATATAGCATCAGATCATCACTTGCTGGTCGCCAAGATGAAATTGAAACTCAAGAAGCACTGGACAACGGGGCGGACAATATCACAAAAGTTCAATACGGCCTTTCTTCAGGATACTAACAAACTCAACAAATTCAAGATAGTCCTCAGCAACAAGTTCCAGGCCTTTCATGATCTACTCAATGGAGAAGGAACTACTGTGGAGAGCAACTGGAAGGGGATCAAAGAGGCAATCACTTCAACATGTCATGAGGTCCTGGGTCACAAGAAGCACCATCACAAGGAATGGATCACTGTTGATACACTGGATAAGATTCAAGAAAGGAGGAACAAGAAGGCAGCAATCAATACCAGTCGAACAAGAGCAGAAAAAGCCAAGGCACAAGCTGAATACACAGAAGTAAACAAACAAGTGAAGAGGAGCATCAGAACCGACAAACGTAAATATGTGGAAGATTTAGCAACGACGGCGGAAAAGGCTGCAAGAGAAGGAAACATGAGACAACTGTATGACACGACAAAGAAACTCTCTGGAAATCGCCGCAAACCAGAACGACCAGTGAAAAGCAAGGAAGGCGAGGTAATCACCAACATTGAAGAGCAACAAAACAGGTGGGTAGAACACTTCAAAGAACTCTTGAATCGACCAGCTCCACTGAACCCACCCAACATCGAAGCAGCACCCACGGACCTCCCAATCAATGTTGGCCCACCAACAATTGAAGAAATCAGCATGGCCATCAGACAAATCAAGAGTGGCAAAGCAGCAGGACCGGACAACATCCAGCAGAGGCACTAAAAGCAGACGTAGCGGCAACTGCAAGGATACTCCACATTCTCTTCAATAAGATTTGGGATGAGGAACAAGTACCAAAGACTGGAAAGAAGGACTTCTGATCAAAATACCGAAGAAAGGCGATCTCAGCAACTGTGATAACTACAGGGGCATCACTCTTCTCTCAATACCGGGAAAAGTCTTCAACAGGGTATTGTTAAACAGGATGAAGGACTGCGTAGACGCCCAACTTCGTGACCAACAGGCAGGATTCCGTAAGGATAGATCGTGTACAGACCAAATCGCAACTCTACGGATCATTGTGGAACAATCAATTGAATGGAATTCATCACTCTACATCAACTTCATTGACTACGAAAAGGCATTTGATAGCGTGGACAGAACAACACTATGGAAACTTCTTCGACACTACGGCGTGCCTCAGAAGATAGTCAATATCATACAGAATTCATATGATGGATTTAACTGCAAAATCGTGCATGGAGGACAGTTGACAAAGTCGTTCGAAGTGAAGACCGGTGTCAGGCAAGGTTGCTTACTCTCACCCTTTCTCTTTCTCCTGGTGATCGACTGGATCATGAAGACGTCAACGTCTGAAGGGAAGCACGGGATACAATGGACATCTAGGATGCAGTTGGACGATCTAGACTTCGCAGATGATCTGGCCCTTCTATCCCAAACGCAACAACAGATGCAGGAGAAGACGACCAGTGTGGCAGCAGCCTCAGCAGCAGTAGGTCTCAATATACACAAAGGGAAAAGCAGGATTCTCCGATACAACACAGAATGCACCAATCCAATCACAATTGACGGAGAAGATTTGGAAGATGTAAAAACCTTTACATATTTGGGCAGCATCATTGATGAACAGGGTGGATCTGATGCAGATGTGAAGGCGCGGATCGGCAAAGCAAGAGCAGCATATTTACAACTGAGGAACATCTGGAACTCAAAGCAACTGTCAACCAACACCAAGGTCAGGATTTTCAATACAAATGTCAAGACAGTTCTACTGTATGGGGCAGAAACCTGGAGAACTACGAAAGCCATCATCCAGAAAATACAGGTGTTTATTAACAGTTGTCTACGCAAAATACTTCAGATCCGTTGGCCGGACACTATTAGCAACAACGTACTGTGGGAGAGAACAAACCAGATCCCAGCGGAGGAAGAAATCAGGAAGAAGCGCTGGAAGTGGATAGGACACACATTGAGGAAAGCACCCAACTGCGTCACAAGACAAGCCCTCACATGGAATCCTGAAGGTCAAAAGAGGAGAGGAAGACCAAAGAACACATTACGCCGAGAAATGGAAACAGACATGAAGAAAATGAACAAGAATTGGATGGAACTAGAAAAGAAGGCCCAGGACAGAGTGGGTTGGAGAATGCTGGTCAGCGGCCTATGCTCCATTGGGAGTAACAGGCGTAAGTAAGTAAGTAAGTAAGTAAGTAATTTCCTTTGAGATGTAATATAATCTGGTCTACTTGTATATAAAGCATAATTGTCTAGAATATAAAAACGATCTTGAACTGATGATCATTGGTATTATGTCCTTCCTCTCCGTTCAAGGCTAGTTTAGTATTGAGTCAACCAAAAAGCAATTTCATGAGTTCCGGCGAAAAAAAATTATAATGTAACACACTTAAAAAATGTTATAGTAAGTCAAAAAGTCATAACTGTGTCGCCTGAACCACTTCAGCACAATTAATTATCTTGAAATAAATCACAGGATAAAAAGGATGTTTTACAAGAACAAAGCAGTAGACAAATAAGAAAGAAAAACACAAAACAAGTATACCAATATAAGTAGTTTGATCAACCAGAAATTACTTCAAAAATGGATGTATGATTAACAAAAAAATGATAACAATCCCAAAATTCAATTATTATCTGTAGCTCAACTACATATGTAGATTGATTGTTTTGTAAATTTATTTTTTTCTGCATAGTCTACAATATAGACTGATCTCAGATAAACGCTGAAAACCATTTTACTTATTAACCGTAGTTAATTTATATTCTGCTCTCAGATTATTAGAAATTAATTATAAGCGAACTGTTCAGATATCGAGCCGTAATATGTTAGTATCGCATATATTGCCATTTTCTATTTATACTTCTTTTTTCATCGTGGGAATCGTCTATTCAATGATGTGAATTTTCGAGTCATGTATACAGAAGGATACATGAGCTGTCGTATTCAC